CCCCGAATACAACACAGGCCTGTGAGAACAGGCCAAGGGTGTATAAGAGACAGGTGCATGTGTGCGTGTGCGTGTGCGTGTCAGTGTGTGTGTGTGTGTGTGTGTGTGTGTGTGTGTGTGTGTGTGTGTGTGTGTGTGTGTGTGTGTGCGTGTCTGTGTGTGCGTCTCCGTGTGTGTGCATGCATGGGTATTTAATAGATAGTGTGTGTGTGTGTGTATAGAAAATGGTGTGTGTGTAGTGTGTGTGTGGATAGCGTGTATGTGTGTTTGTGTGTATATTATATGGACATATACAACAGTTGCAGCGGCGGGCCTTCGACACCATTCCCCCCCCCCAACCCCCTACCCCAACCCCCTACCCCAACCCCCTACCCCAACCCCAAAACCGTTTTTTTTTGTTTTGTTTTTTCCTCTGAATGATCTCAAATTTGTTCTAATGGGTCCCCAGGTGGTGCACGACACATACTTTTTTTTTTTTTTGCCTCACAAATTTGAGAAAAAATGAGTTGTTCGGGATTCCGGATAACTCCACACAGAATGTCCGGCTAGGACAACCGACTATCGGACAACTGGTAGCCTAGGATAAGTCATTTGAGGGTTTCATAAACCAATCTATGAGGATTTGACTTGGGGGTTGGTGAGAGTACTTACCAATGTGGTTTGACCTTGTATGTGGCGGAGTGAAATTACTGCTTAGTCAAAGTTTCAGTTTGACAGGTAGTTGCTTTAGTTGTTCGCCACGTGCCAGAGCTATAAGAGTTAGTTCAATCCCGACATTTTCTAAGCTAATTTTTTTTTTACTTAAGTCAATTCTCTAATTTTCAAGGATCATTTGTTATACTTGGCTTTATATAAATCTTTTTAAGGCACTTCTCCTACGGAAAACGCTGCCGAAATTTCAGAAAAACCAAGGAGTTAGTCAAATCTGACTTTCAAAAGTTTAATTTTTGTCTATGTTTTATATCTGGCTTAGTAAAAATTGGAATCATTTATGACTTTGGTTTCTTAGAAAGAAATGAAAATATGGGCAGGGGATTGAGCCATTCTTCTTAGAAACAATGCTAAGCTTGCCCAAATTACTTCCAGTTATACTCTGTAGTTTCCCTTTTCTTCTTAGTGATATGGCTTAGCGCTGGACGATTCTGCTTAGAAACAATGTCCAACTGCCAGTTCAAATGCAAATATAAATAAAGTACTTTCCATTTATACTCCATTTATACTTATGTGTGTGGTTTTCATACTAAACCATTCTGCTTAGAAACAATGATTGGTCCCAAAGACCAGTCAGATAAACCTTCATAAATAAACACAGCAACGAGGCCATTCTGCTTAGGAACAATGTCTGGTTTATTAGAAAACAGTCAAATAAACATAGCCCTAGACCATTCTACTTAGAAACAATGCCCAATCCTTGGTTGACCCGGTCAAACGCATGCAAAACTGCCTTCCTCCCACATTCCCCCCAGTTTATCCCTTAATCTGCTTTAAGTCTAAATAAAGATGAAACTTAAGTGTTTCACACGCATTCCTTCCATTCAGTGAGATTGGATCCTAAAAAAGAAAGCAAAAGTCATAAAGAAACACATGCATATAATAGTCAAACTAGAGGGGCAATAGTCAAACAAGGTTGTAGTGGGTTCATACAGACAGAATAAGGTATACATGATAGTCCCCTGCCTCCAAAACTCCTTCCGAGTTCCGGCAGGGCTCCCGCAATCTGTGGGCGGACTCCCCAAAGAATCTTGATGCGGTCCTACGGCTTGCAATCCCGCCTGCCGCCTTCCTCTAGTAACCACAGACTCGACTTAGAGTAAGAAAGGCAGAAAGAGAATCATTAAGTCGGTCAGATCCAAGAGAGGTTTACTCGGACTCGCGTGAGAGGGCTTTGAATCCCTCAAATCGTATGAGGGTCCCGCAATGATGGCCAAAACGTGCAACAACTTCGTCAACTGAAGTCAAACTTCCTGTTGTCGACTTTCTGACGACCTTTCGAATTGCAGTAGAGAACCCCTTACTTAACTCGATCACTTCCCCAAACCCCGATTCCGCTGGCGCAGTTGGGTCCACTATCCCCTCAACCCCCTCCCTGCTTAACTCCTCCAAAGAACCTCGTCAAAGCAACGGTCAGACACGTATCTAACTCACGGCTGGAGTCGTGTTATTTCATTTGATAGAATGAACCACATACTCGCCAGCAAGTAAGCCTGCACCTTATGACCTACCCGCAACTGCTTTGCTCGGTATGATAAACAGTGCATCGGGCAACGAGTGCGTCCTCCATCCCACGGGTAGTCTTCCGCTACTCCTTATGGCGAGATGTACAATGTACTGACGAGCAGGTAGGCCTTCAGCTTCGCTGCCCACTCCCTCTTTCTTGCTGCTCTCACTCCTCCCCGCTTCCTCATGCTCCTGGCCTACCTCCTAGTCGCAATAGGGGCCACAACTGGTTTGGCAACTCTTGATGATACAAGGGAAGCACATGCGACAACAACCGAGCAGGTGGTGCAACAAGATGATGCTGGGGCTGAAAGTGGAAGGCCTGTAGGCACAACACGCCACCCTGCACGTAAGCCTCCAATGACACGACTGGCTTCAAGCTATTCTCATCGGCAGAGAATGTACCACCGGAGTATGAAAATATACGTTGATGTCCAACTCTGCGCTCCAGTTTGAACCCACCGACCTGCAGGTAAGTCCCACTGAGATTTGCAACGTACAGCCCCCCAGGTAAGTTTCCAAACACCGTGGCTGCCTCCCGCTTCTTCGCTTTGACATGATGCGCAACGAATCAGCCAACAAGTAATCTCTTATCCCACAGTTCGCCTCAGGCTACTACGATTCTCCGAATAATAGGATGAGTAGCGCCCTTGTTACTAGGTAAGCCTCCTTACTCTCTCTCTCTCACACACACACGCCTGTTCATCGCCTAGATCGTGTGGACCATCTCCCCCGTAACAATCCGATTTTCATGATCAGTGATTGCTTCCGGTAGTGCGCCTGGTCACTCAATAGCGCCAACTTCGGACGAGCTCATAGAGACATTGTCGTAGAAGGGGGGAGGAGAACACACACGGCGAGGGGGACAATCATGTACACACGGGCGGTAAGGAGGAAAGACAAACTGTGGATGGACAATGCCAGGACTCACACCAAGGTTAGAGTAAGAAAAAAAGTAAACAACCGAAGTACCAAGTAACCAAAGTAATGAACATCGTTCTGGAAGCATGGAGTCGCACAGTATCGTCAATACAAAGGGAAAACACACTAAAAAAGAGGAAATATTATAAAAGAAGAAATAACTGAAACATGCAATGCTAAAAACAAGAAGAAGAACGAAACCTCTAAACACTAAATGAAGAAAGACGTACAAAAATATCATTGGCGCGACAGCGAAGTCCGAGTTTACAGCGCATCGGACTGCCCGTCATCTGTGTCGTCGTCGTCGATGATGCGCTCTCGCCGCCTGTGTGGCACAGTTGCCGCCGTCTCGTCTTCCTCCCCTGAATGCTGTGACGCAGACAACACGTGACTGCCACCTGCTCCGACTGCCATCCTCTCTGCCTCTCTCTCTGCACCATGTGCAGCAAAACGTCCCAAAATGCCAGTCAGGGTTGTATACGTCTTCCTAACCTTAGGAATGGGCACCTCATCCGTCGCGGAATCCTCCGTGCGGCCCCCAGCACCTCGACGACTGCCCGGTCTTGTCGTTGTCTGACGTCATGGCTCCTCCCCGAGTATCCTGTGTGCAGTCGACAGACAAGCCCCATGGCTGCTCTGCAATGTCGCAGGATCAGGGGCATCATCAAGCAATGCGGGGGGAAGTCGGGCAGCCGGCAAAGCACCTGTGGACGATCGCCCTTTCGGACGTCGATGACCATCGCGATGTGCCGCACCTGCTGTGGGCGGTCGTGACGACGGTGCAACCATCGTGTTGCCCCGTCGCTCAGCAACGCACGACGACCTGGCACCAGGATGCTCCAATCTATCTCCCTTCCGTACCCAGCCTGCTGCATCCGCAAACATCTCTGGCAACCTCCCCTCACAATCCCTCCTCTCACCCGTAACCCTCGGCATAAAATCCTTGAGTTTGCGGGTGACCTTGTTGATGCTGCTCCACGGTACGGACTTCCCCTTCTACTTCGATGAAGGTGATGGGGAACCCTGCACATGCCCGCGCCCTCCTGCCGTCGCCACTGCTGCAAAAGCCTCTCCCCCACCAACACTCCTGCCTGAAAGGCACGACTGACCGCCGACAACTATACGACCACCTCCCCCGCCAACAATACTGCCACCAGACTCGCCTCCTCGTCCACTCACCGCCCCTGCACATGCGGGTCGTGTCCCCGCAGCAACTGACCCTGCTCCCCATGACACCCCTCCCGCTTCGATAACCCTCTGACATGTCGATTGCTCGAACAGGTCGGCCATCTCCATGGACCTCCCAATATGCCCCGATACCCCAGAGGGTGCTGGCGGATTAACAACCACGAAAGCAAAAGAAGGCACAACATTCCAAAACCTCTTTAATATATGCCTGCTTCTGCCCATCATTGGATCAATCCCGACAGTGTGGCGCTCGAGCGGGGACATGGTGGGCACGTGTGCCTCAACGGGGGCAGCGACAACTGCCCCATCCACCTGTCGGTCCTCCTCAATGCGAGGTGCAACCACATCATCCATCGTGACAGGACCATCCTCAATGTGATCTGCAACCACATCCTCCATTCCGGCAACGCCGACAAGTACTCTATCTGCCTGCCCCTCCAACTCCGTCCGATCACACCCAAGCAACCCCCCTGCATCTGCCATAGCCACATCCTCGCCCCCATCCCCCTCATCACCCGTGGGGAGTCGCGTGTCGCCGTGACCAGGTGTGTCACCAGACCCTATCCTCGTGTCCTCCTCGTCCCCGTCCGCACGATCGACCTCGTGTCCCCCCGCGTGGAGTACTCCACCATCTGCAGCATCTGCATAACGACCGTGTGCACACTCTGCTGCTAATCTGGCGGCAGTGACCTCCTCCATAGTACACCCTATCTCCTTCGCCCCGGTCGTGTCCTGCTCCAACAACGGAAAAATTTTCCAGAATTAAATAATCATTCTATAGTAAAATTACAATCTAAATTTCAAATTTTCATTCCATCTTTAAAAATGTCATTCCAATTTTAAAATTTTTCATCTTACTTGCAAACTTTCATTCCAAGAATAGGGTATCCCTTCTTATTTGGACTGTATGCTAGAGATGTAATGAAAGTCTGGATGAGTTCATGAAATATTTTAATTGGACTGTTATTCTAAGTAAGGATTTTCGGTCATAAATAGGTTAATCCAATCTAAATTAGAAGATATTTATTATGGTAGAATGAAAATTTAATTAAAATATCTCATAAACTCGTCCAGACTCTCATTCCATCTTGAGCAAATAGATGTAGTTGGAAGGGAAAACTCATATTTAGACGGGAACTTATCAAATAAAACTGAAAATTTTAGAATTGGACGAACATTGGAATATGAAGGATTTTTTTTTTTATGGAATGTTTTTTCAACTTTCATTTCTCGTGGGAATTTTTCTGTTGAACGCAAGTCGTTGTATCGTGGCATACCCCGACACCATGCGTCTCAACTGCTCCTCCTCAATCACGTCCTCGGGGTCCATGTCTAGCCTCCTGGCAACGTCTCAAGCAGGCATGACGTCATCACCAAGCCTGCCCTCCTCTCGCTCGCCTGTCGCTGTAGCAGCCTCTGTCAACATCCCCGAACTCGCACCACCGAAAACCGACCCTATGTGGTGTGCAATATCGCTCGCCGGTGTCCGAACACGCACCCCGCCGTGCCTGGAATCTGAAGTGGGTGGACCTCCAATGTCGAAGTCGTCCTGAATATGGCAGAGGGAATCGATCCCTGCGGTACATCCAAACCAAATCCCTGCACGCTGCCAACGCGCCCGCCCACCGCACCGGGGCCAGGAGTAACCAGGCACGCGCCACCCGCCCTGTCGTCACAGGGCCCACCGTCGTCGCCGCCGTCGAACCCGTGCTCGTCCGCAGGATCGGGATGCTCTCCATCAACCATATACTCGTCGTCGGAGTCCTCATCGTCGGCGACATCTCCGTCATTACCTCGGTTGTCCTCACTCGACGATCGTGCAACCTGTGACTGCTTGCACCCTCTCGCAGCCACAGTCTTCCCCCTCGTCAAAGGAGGGCTCAGACGTGCGGGCTCACAATGGCTATGCCGATCCCACGACCGCATCTCACTGCCATGATCACTCTTCTTACCAGAGTCCTCAGCAACGTCAGGTGTGTCACTGCCTCCCTGCTCCAAGTTCTCCGGGTCCGTTCACGCCTCAGCCTCCATCTCGTCTGTAGCCTGCGGGTCCATGGGTGGCTCGTACTCGATCTCCTCGTCATACAGCTGGATATGAGCTGCACGATGGCCGAACACCGTCTGAGCCGAAGGCGGTTGGCGGACCGTCAAGGCACGCTGCATCTTGCGCGCCCGATGCTTGATCTCCTCGTCCGTCAGTGTCCCCGACGGCAGAGTACCTGACCTGCGCGGCTCCGGAACGTCGTCCAACCCCTCCTCGAGATCACCCCATGGCAGGAAAAGTACCCTCCTCCTCTGTCTACACGTCAGAAGCTTCTTGTTCGCGCACATCTCCACCATGTCAGTCAGGTTCTTGAATTCCAACCTGTTGCGGCGCTTCTCGTGGATCCGCTCATGCAACGCCCAATTCCTCTCCGCAGGAGAGGCGCAAACCCAGGTGTACATCCGACGTGTGGCGATGGTGCAAAGCTCAGGGGCACAACCGCCGTGCAAAACCCACCAATCAGCAATGACCTGTGTCTCATCCGGCCCCTCGCACGTGTCCTTGTCTGCAGTGCGTGCATCTCCCCCCCAATCATACCTCGGCCCGCGCGCGTGGAAGTCGTACAACTGCTGACGGACCAACCTGTACCTCTCTCCCCGCCAGTCGAAGCCCATCTGCGTGTAGATGTACTCGAGTGTCATCTCCGCCACCTTCTTCTGTTGATTGCTGCGCTCCGGAGACTAGAAGTAAACGAAGTTCCACCTCTTCGGATTGAGAAGATGGGCGACAACATGGGCGGGGTCCAGTAGATGGCATGCCCTGGCGTAACAGTCCTGAAGCATGCCAACCAGGCGAGGTCTCGCCAACTCCAACTTCAGAATCTCCTCCGCCAACTGGGTCACCCACCGGAAGATGCACGAGATCACCAATCCCCCCTGGTCCAACATCCTCAACAACTGCATGACCGGGGTGAAGACGTCTATAAGATCATCCATCTCCTCCCAAAACAACCCGCATCGCACTTGCGTGCGCACCCAACCGGCCTGCGCCAACAGATTCCTCTCCCATGGAAGTCGCGCCCAGTCCCTCTCCAACGTCATCGCCTCCAGTGGAACCCTGAGGTGGCGCAACCTCTCCATCATGATGTACATAGAGGCAAATCGCGTCTGGCTAGGGTACAACAACTCTCGACCGCGTCGGGCTTTGACTCTTGTCCCCCCTCCATGGCCGGCCCTTGTCTCACGATCAGTTCTGGCACTGTAAATCCTAAACAACACGAGAGCCGATCCGTGAGATCTAATGAATCGGACAACCGCCCTCGCCCTCGTCAACAACTCGATGGCCCATGTGGGCCATGTCTTATCCTTGACCATGTCTGACAACATCAAGTTGCAGCAATGGACAGAACAAGGGAGCCAAGGGATGCGACGAATATCCGGATCGGGATCGTCGTGAAGCGCTCGACCGGCAGCGACATAAACTGATGCAGAGTCCGTGCAGATGACGTTGATCTTGTTCGCGCCGAACTTTTCGAAAACCTTCTTCCACCGCTGCAAGACGACGTCTGCCGTCTCTGCGTCAACCTCTTCCCTGCACACCGTCGTGAAAAGGAAGGCGCTCGACTGTCCTGCTGCCAGGAAGTTCACAATTGGCTCAGAGTTCAGGGACTTCCTCCCATCCGTGAGGATGGTAGCCCCTGTGTGCCGCATCTGCTCACGTATGTCACGTATCTTATCAACTATGTGCGCACACTCCTCCTCTATGTCACTGCCTGCTATGCGCTTGAACTGGGGCAAAGAAGGCTTCATGCCCTTGGGCATTTTGTGCATATGCTTCGTGAGGACCCTGTACTCGTCCATCTTCGCCCTCTCAAATGGGATGCCGCCAATATACCACCACTGCAGGAAGAGATGGTGGAATGTGGACTGCCACGCTGGGTCGTACAACTCATCCAACCTGACCAGCTTCAAACGTTTCGGGTCCAAAATGCATGCCGCAGGAGCAGTGTTCGCCCTCCTCTTCCCACGACTATCCATAGTCGCACGGGGTCTCGTCTGCTGAGTTGCACGTCCTCCCTTGAGTCCTCCCCCCTGCAGGGATGCTCCTAACTCCTGCACATCGTCGTCGTCGTCGCCCCCCTCTTCTCCCTCGCCCTCTGGCCCACGGCTAGCAGACCCCACCCCTGCGCCCGCCTCATCATCCTCGTCGGCGCGCTCTCCACCCTCAACGTTCGCCCCCTCCCTGTCCAAAACATCTTGCACCTCGTCCTCAGCCACACATCCAACTCCCACCTCTCTCCTGTTCGGGATGCCACGATACTCCATGTAATCCCGCACTTGTCGCTCTCGCCGCTGGTCGAAGCGGTAGCTTGTCGAATTTCAAATATCGACAAGTATCTCCGGTGTCACCCTTGGGCACCTCCCCTTGGTGAAGTGCTCGGCCCCCCGCATCTGACTGCCCTGAAAAGGGGGTTTGTTGCAGAAATTGCACTTCATCTTGAAGTTGCCCTTGCAACTCTCCAGTGTCTGACCCTTCGTCAGGTACTTGTAGACACAACACCGGGCAATTACCTCACGCTGCTCGTCCTCGCTGACGGGCTTGAAGGCCTCCTTAGCTCCCTCCCCTTCCCCCTTCCTCTTCCTCCCAACCATGTTGTCGTTCACTCGAACGATGTGCTACTACGGGGCCACCAATTCCGTACCTCACCCACGACCCGCCGCCCCCCCTTCCCCCCCCCCCCCCCCTCCCCCCCCAACCAACGCCCCACACACCGAAACCCCGACTCCCCCAGCCACCCTCAACACGACGCAGGAGCACGCCGCACCTGTAGCGGACCCACGAGGTATGGTGCTCCGCTAGTGGTAGAGATGGAGATGGAGGAATGACGCACAGCGCAGCTCCCACGCAGGACTCCAATGCACGTACTCCAGAAATTTGCAAGTGAAGAATGAGGCTGAAAACAGACAATGGCTGGGGTATACCCCAGCGGATTGACGAGACTGGACTGGACTGGCTGGTACCGACAGAGGTACCGTACCCCGAATACAACACAGGCCTGTGAGAACAGGCCAAGGGGCTGGTCTCACAGGCCAACCCGAGGTCCGTTACACGATCCTCGGCCTGTGATGGATCGCCTAGATACAAACATGCTTCCGCCAAGAAGCGGAACTCTACCAAAGAAAAGAAAACCTGAGTAGTCTAGGATGCGGAGCAAGCTCCATGCTGAGTCCATGCGATGCAACCTAGGATATAAAATGTCACAAAACARCAATGTCACARCTAACAGCCTAAGTGAAAGCAGAAGCAACTAACTAACATACATGTCCTAGGAAAGCAAAAGCAACTAACTAACATACATGTCCTAGGAAAGCAAAAGCAACAAACTAACATACATGTCCTAGAAAAGCAAAAAGTAGTGACAACTAGATCCTAGAATGTTGGAGGCACTAGCCTCAGTCTGGTAACAACTGACTAGTGTATAAGTCCTAAGAACAGCAAAAGCAGAACAACTAAATCCTAGAAATGTCGGAGGCAGTAGCCTCAGTCTGAGAGCAACAAAGCAATCAACAAGACAACCATATGTCACATGAGAATTGTGTCGCAAACCAAATGGTGGGATAGTCTCTGAGGGTGGCGAATGCAGCCTAGGGGTCGAAGACTCCTAAGGGCATCCACACATAGTGACAGGGGAAAACACATGTCATCAGGCTCAATGAGGGTAGGGAACTGGGAGCGAACAGAACCAATGACCCTAACAGATAGACCATCCGGGCGGGTAATGCTCGACTAAGGGGTGACCGCTATGGAGGGTCGACCATGCAAGGGAACAAGGGAGCCTGGTATACTGGGCGCACCTAGATGAAGCATGCGGGGCTGCCTAACTAGGGCGTGAGGGTCGGCGAAGGGTAGAAAGATGATGGGTAAGGGAATCATGCAAATGACTCCTAAAGGGAGGAAAGTCGGAGCTAGATCCATAAGATGTGAAGTCAGGGCAACGCTACGGTCCCGATGCCTATGCGTATACCAAGGGAGAGCTCAGCTCAGAGGAACCCGGCTAAAGGGAGACCATCGTGCGACACAAGCAGGGTACTGTACAGGGTAGAGTGGTAAGAGAGTGACGACGTCTGAAGTAGGCAGAGCTGATCGTGACGAAGTCCATGAAGCTGCCGATGACGTCCACGATGAGAAGTCCGGAATGCCGTCGAGGAAGAGCCGCAACGTCGACGAGCTGAAGTAGCAAAACTGATGTGGATGGAGTACTATGAAGTCAAAGACGTGGGAAGGTAAGTCAGAGTCAATCATCGTATCGAGCAAGACGACGACGAGTGCGTTGTGGACGCTCAGAAGCATCCGGCTGCTGCTGAAGGTCTGCCTCAGATGGAGCATGCTCGACTTCAGCGGTCTCCTCAGCCGGGGGAGAAGGAGGAGGATCAGTGGGCTGAGGAGGAGCAGTGAACCCAGCAYGACGAGCACGGTCATAGGCACGCACCAACATGCGAGCGTGCTGCAAGTGCTCGAGGGGCTCCCAGGTAGCCTCCTCATCARGGTAACCCTTCCAACGTACGAGATACTCGACGTGGGGAGGGTTGTCGTCGGTGACTCGGCGGCCAATGATGTCTGAAACGAGGAACTCCTCGTGGTCGTCCACCATGATAGGTGGCGGGCGCTCGTATGGTCGTCCAGCGAAACGCTCAGACGGTCTGCGGTAAGGACGCAGTAACCAGACGTGGTAGACATCATGCACACGAGTCTGGCGTAGGTAGTCGGGCAGCTTCACACGAAAGCTGACCGGGCTAGATGCCGTATCAGAACCGACGGCCTGGAGGATGCGGCATGGGCCAAAGAAGCGACGCCGAAACTTGCGAAGCGTGTCCGCTTCGAGCTGTAAGTGGCGGGCGTCGATAAGCACATCATCACCGACTTTGAATGGATGGTCCATTCTCGATCGGTTCGCACATGTTGCCATGCGAGTCTGGGAAGCGGCTATGTGCTCATGTGCGATCTTCATGATCGACGTCATGTGTGCAACCCAATCATCCAGCGCGGAACAACTCGTGTCGGGGTGCATCTGTGACGGTCGAAGAAAGTCCGCGGGAACACGAGGGTGATAGCCGAGGTCGCAATAGTAAGGTGACATCCCCGTGGCTGGCGAGACGGCGTGGTTGTAGGCTATCTCCGCGTGGGCAAGATGAAGATCCCACTGCTGGTCGTCACGAACAATCTTTCGAAGAATATCTCCGAGAGTCCTGTTTGTGATCTCGGTCGGACCATCAGTCTGAGGATGGTAAGACGAGGAGAAGCGGAGCTGAGTGCCGTATACCTCCTGGAGCCGTCGCCAGAATCGGCTGGTAAAGCGCGGGTCACGGTCAGATATGATGCTCAGAGGTAAGCCGTGGTCACGCACGACTCGGTCAAACACGATGTCGGCGACCTCACGAGCACTGATGGCATAGCGGCACGGGACAAAGCGTGCACGCTTCGTGAAGCGGTCGACGACGACCAGGATAGCGTCATGACCGCGAGGGGTCAGAGGACGAAGAGGACCGATAAAGTCCATCGAGATGGATTGCCAACGACCCTCAGGGATAGGAAGAGGCTGGAGCAAACCATAAGGCAGGTGGTTCGCACTGTTCACCTCCTGACAGGTGGGACACTCTGCGACGTAGTCCTTCACAAAGTCCTTGCGCTTCGGCCAGACGTACAGGCGGCTCACACGAGCCAACGTCTTTTGGAAGCCCATATGACCGGCAACTGTCTAGTCATGGAACTCTGCTACTGCTCGGACACGTAGCTGTCCAGTAGAGGGAACGCAAATACGGGGCTCTCTGGTGCCCTGTGAACCGTGCCAGTACACAAGACCGTTGTCCCCGAGAGAGTGGTTCGGGACGGTCTTGCCACTCCGAAGGGTTGCATGGATGTCGCGATAGTCGGGGCAGTGGCGGTACTGAGTGCGAAACTCGTCGATCACCGAGTGGTGGACAGTGGTGACCGAGATGTGCTCAGTGGTGAAACTAAACTCGGATAGGTCGCGCCACCAGCGAGCCTGTCGAGGAGTGAGCTTCGGCTTTGTCAGAAAAGCCTGGACAACAGAGTTGTCCGTGCGCACCGTGAATGGTGCCCCATGCAGGTAGTGACGCCAGTGCTGAGCGGCATAAACTACTGCGAGAACCTCACGTTCATCAGCAGTGTAGTTTATCTCGGCGGGCAGGAGCTGACGGGAGTAGAAGGCTATCAGACAATCACCTGAGCGAGACTCGACAGTGTCGTCCTCGGCGATGGTAGGAGAATAGTCAATAGAAGGCTCGTTAGTAGTTGGACGAGTAGGCGTCCGTCGGAAAGCAGTGGTAGGGGTAGGTGGTGGGAAGCGAGGGATACGAGGATGAGAGGAATCAGGAGATGAAGGGAAGACCTGAGAAAGCACTGCTCCTACAGCGAAGTCTGACGCGTCGGTGGTAAGGATAAAGGGGCGGTCAAAATCGGGTAGGTGAAGAACCGGTGCGCATGTCACCGCCTTCTTGAGGGCGCGGAAGGCGTCCTCGTGGAGGGGTGTCCAAGCCCAGGGTGGGTTCTTCCGTAGGAGGGTGGAGGTAAGGACGTAGGAATACCTAGCGTATCCCCGGATGAAGTTACTATAGTAGCTGGTCAGGCCTAAGAAGCTGCGAAGCTGCTTGGCGGATGTGGGAGCGGGCCACTCCGCAATAGCAGTGATCTTCGCGTCGTCCATGTGGAGACCCTGGTCAGACACGTAGTGTCCTAAGAAATCCACTTTGTGCTGGGCAAAGCAGCACTTGCTTAGCTTGGCGTAGAAGCCATGTCTGCGCAAGCGATCAAGGACGTCGCGGAGGTGTCGAGGTGCTCTTCAAGGGTACGACTGTAGACCAGGATATCGTCGAGGTAGACGAGAACGTACTGCTCCAGGATGTCACTGAAGATGTCGTTCATCGCCCTCTGAAAGGTAGCGGGTGCATTGGTGAGGCCGAATGGCATCACCGTAAACTCGTAGTGGCCGAAGCGCGATCGGAATGCTGTCTTCGGCTGGTTGGCTGCAGCGACGCGGATCTGATGGTAACCGCTACGAAGATCAATCTTCGTAAAGAAGCCGTTGCCTGCTAGGCGGTCGAACACCTCATCGGAACGAGGCATGGGGTAGTTGTTCTTAACCGTGTAGCGGTTGAGACCGCGATAGTCGATGCAGAGACGGAAAGTTCCATCCGCTTAGCGAGCAAAGAGGACGGGTGCACCCCACGGGGAGTTGTTGGGTTTAATGAAACCCAGTCTCAGGAGCTCCTCAAGCTGACGCTTGAGTTCGGTGGTCTCGGGAATCGAGAGTCATTAGGGTGCCTGGTGGTGAACACGATAGTCAGGCACAAGCTGAATGGAGTGCTCGACGTCACGCATCGGTGGGATGCCGGCGTACGAGAATGACGATGGGAAAACGTCGTGGTACTCTCGGATGAGGTCAC